TGAACCCTCTCACCCTCCCGTGCCTCTGACTGTACCCAGTTCTTGCATAAATAAATAAATCTTTAAGAAAAAAATAAAGAAAAAATATCAGATGAGGCACACTGCAGTCCTATCTCTGCATGCAGATATCATGCTGTGGCAGAGTGGCTGCTTCTTTGCTGGGTGCATGACGGCTCCAGATTGACACAGCACCCAGCTAGAAAAGTCTCATTAATCAGAATAGATGCTATAAAACTCAGTAACAAATAAATATGGAAATTTCTGTAAGTAAAATCTCTAAAGGAATATTTTACATTCTGGTCAATTCTAGTGTGGGACAGACACTCTTCTAATAGCTATGCCATCTGGAACATTTAGTTCCTAAAGCACTAGAAAGACACTGATTCTTAATTGCCTGGTTCAGAGGCTATACCTCCTACTTCTACTTGTAGTCCATTGGCCAAACTAGTCACATGGCTCCAACCACATGCAAGGAGGCTGGGAAATGTAGGTGGAGAAAGCGGCTATTAGGAAGAAGTCAATCATAGAAAAATACTTGCATTTAAGAGGGGTAAATACGTTTAAAATGTAAAATAGGAGTTCACGGCAGGACAGCCATACAAATTACCCATTTGGTAGCTGGAAAACAGGAAACTGCCCCTCAGGAGTGAAGTCAAAATAGATATCTGAGAGTGATTATCTTACAGGGACTAAATGAAACATTTAAGTGAGTGAGAAATAAAGAACAAATCCTTGCTAAAAGTTGAATTTGACAGCTGGGAGTGAATTTGATGACCGAGAGAACAAGCTCATTGTGCTTGATCTCAATAACCCTATGAAGTCTTACACACTCAAATGTGAAATGTGTGCCCATCTATGGATTTGATAGGAAAGTCAGGGGCCTGGTGGGGACAGAAGAACTGTAGAAGTGAAGAAGGGAGTAAATGTTGAAATGTGGTTGATGTGCCCATGCTATTGCAGATACAGACCTTTTAGAACTGACTGGAGCACAGCTTATACCTCTTATCTCAGATATTCAAATTTCTAAAGTGAAATGGGCTGCTGAAAATTTTCTTTTAGTAGAGTGTTTAAATCATTTCCTCCTCACCCTATTAGTGAGGAATGAATTCTCACTTTGGGTCATGGGATGGATCACGGGATGGACAAACACACAAAACAGCATGAGTTTGTATTGGGGAACAGAGCAAAACAACTAGGGCAGAGGAGACAGATTTTGCAGTAACAAGAGGGATTTTTCTGTTTTGTTTTTTGTTTTGTATTGTATAACTCCTATTTCTGATAACAGACTACGTTTGGCTAGTTGAATAATTTCACTGACTAGCAAGGAACTAAAGCAGGAATAATGCTTTGAATCTCATGATAAGGTGGGTTTGTCAGCTGGGGAGCAGCGTATAGAGGTAAACGTGAGCATAGGTCATTTGGGATACTCCTGCTTTGCCCCAGATATCAAAGGGCACATTACCTTGAGCCATAATTTTAGGTTTTATTCCACATGAGGAAACCAGGGTGTTGACAGGGAAGCTTTTGAAAAAACAAGACAGCTTAAAATGAGTTCAAAATAGTACTGAAAAGGGGCAAGACTATAGCAGACACAAACGGCTCTTTGAGAAGTTTAGGAATGATATGAATGAGAGAAGGTGATGGCAGGAAGAATAACCTGGGAAAGAAAGATTTCCTCCAGTTTGTTACAAGAATTACAACAGCATGCCTTGCTTTACTTACTTAGTGTGTCAGGAAGTATAGGAGATGCTTTCTATCAATTATCCCATTTTAAGTATCTATAAAACTATGAAGTGGTCAGTACCATTATAAAGAAACAGATACTCAAGTAAGGGTTACAAGTAGGTACTAAGAAAAATAGTCTGATATTTGCATTTAGTAAGGATACTGGTGAGGGCCATCTGTGCAGGAATGAGCAGAGGAAGAAGTTGAACTGCAATTAGTCTCAACAAAGACTCAAATGATCTCATAGGAAACACTTGCTCCTTTGAAAATATAAAGTCCTTTACATTTTTTCAAATAAAGGCAAGGGAGAAAGGTTTCATACTCATACATCCAACAATCATTATGACAGGCTTCCCACAAAGAGGAAATGTAACCTTGGGTGAGGCAGCTCCTTGGGTTGAGAGGAGATCTCAGGGACTCGGGGCTTCCAGACACCAACATTGGCCTCACCTGGGGGAATTGGTGCTGTGATCCTGAATCAGAGGAGCTGAATGTTGTCCCACAAGACACATTACGGGGGATGAAAAAATTTATCCAAGGTTTCATGGTTATTACTTTTTGGTGCCATACTCAAATTGAGGTCTATCTGATTCCATATCCATATTCTTTACCTAAATATTCTGCACATCACATTAATGCAGCAGTGGAACAGGAATGTTCTCCTAAAAATGCAATTGCTAAGTGAATCTGTACTAGAAGGTCAAAGCAAGCCCCCGTGGAATTACATTCTGGGTCACATAGCCATGGAATCATGCCAGATCTCTGGCCATTCTCTCTTCTAATTCCTGCTTATTTCATTATTGGCCATGCCCTCTACTCAAAGGACTTTTCCCCACCTTTATTTGAAAGGCTAATTTCAATATCTGTATCACTTGCCTTAAACTACCATAAAAACACCACACCAGGGCTTTCCTGGTGGCGCAGCAGTTGAGCACTGGGCTGCAAAGCTCCTCAGTGCCGGTTGGATCCCCGGCCGCCGGGCGAGAGTCCCACATGGCGCGTAGACCTCTCCTGCCGCCCGCTGCTCCCCTCAGCAGTGTACTTCGGTCCTTCTGCCTGTTCTGCATCCTGCTCTGGCTCTGGTGAATACTCTCACCCTCCCGCACGCTTCTGACTGTACCCAGTGCTTGTAAAAATAAATAAATAAATCTTTTTTTTTAGAATAATTTTTTTTTAAAGATTTATTGATTGATTGATTGATTTATACATACATGCATACAAGCACTGGGTACAGTCAGAGGCGCGGGAGGGTGAGAGAATTCACCAGAGCCAGAGCAGGATGCAGAACAGGCAGAAGGACCGAAGTACACTGCTGAGGGGAGCAGCGGGCGGCAGGAGAGGTCTGCGCGCCATGTGGGACCTTCCTCCGGTGGCTGGAGAGCAGCCGGGGATCGAACCGATGCCGCAGAGGCTGCGGGCAGCTTCGCAACCCAGCGCTCAACCGCTGCGCCACCGGGGAGGCCCAATAAATAAATCTTAAAAAAAAAAAAAAGCCACACCACACACACACATACACACACACACACTGTAAATAGCAAAACTTAATGTCATTTTCCTTGACAATTTTATAAAACTTCCAATGTGACCACATGCATGCCTTTAGGAGTTGGAAATGTTCTTTAGAACACAAAATGGGGCCTCCCTGGTGGCGCAGCGGTTGAGCACTGGGCTGCGATGCTGCCCGCTGCCTCTGCAGCACCAGTTCGATCCCCGGCCGCAGGCGAGGGTCCCATGCCTGCTGCTCCCCTCAGCAGTGTATTTCACCAGTCTGCCTGTTCTCCTCCCTGCTCTGGCTCTGGTGAATTCTCTCACCCTCCTGTGTTTCTGACTGTACCCAGTGCTTGTAAAAATAAATAATCTTAAAAAAAAAAAAACCACACAAAATGATGATAGAAAATTAGCCCATGGGTAAGTAAACAGAGACTGGTGAGTGTCACTCAAAATGAGAAAACTCAGTATGTGCCCTGGAGATCTTTAGGCAATAAATGGAGCCAGTGGGCCATGAATGGGTAATGGACTCAGTTCACATTAGCTGATGGGGAATGTTTAGTCTTTCATTCACATTGCTGAGAAAAGTAGATACTAAGTACACTACACAGTAATGAAACAGATATGGATGTGTGTGTATCTGAAACAGTTAAAATTAGCCTTCTATCTATTGGTTCTCAGAAAATTAGTATAAAAAAAGTCCCTGCATTTGAACAATACACTTAGATTTTGCACATGGGTTGCCCAGTTTTTTCTAAAGCAATTCACTTCTATTCCTCCTTGTCCTGACTTAGCATCAAACTAGAGGAAGTAGGAAGAAAATTTTATTCCACTTCCAAGCATTCTCCCTAAAAATAGAAAATTGTTCCCAACTCAGAAGTTCAAACACCAACTTAAAAATCATAAGAACAATCTCACCAACTAGAATTTCAGGAAACTCAAATTCCTTTGAACCAGCCAATCTCCTGTGTCTAATTATTTTAGTGCTTTGTCCTTACAACTTCACCTTTGTTGCTTCCCTCACAATTCACTTTTGCAGATTACATAACACAGGGACAGAAAACTGAACTGGCTTTTCAAGGTCAGGAAAACAAATCAAGGTGTTAGAGCCACAACTTTCTGATTTCTAGGAATTTAGCATCTACTAGCCTGGATATATTGGGTACTCTGTTTACATTCACAGGCTATTGTAATGCTTTCTTTGTATAGAATTTTTACAACATTGTCACAGTTTTTGTTTATCAGCTTATTCTGTAAATTTATTATAGCTTTAGCTTAACTTACATTAGTCCCCTAGTTCTAGTTATTGAGTTCATTCATTCCTTGTGTTCAATGTGTTGATGAAATATGTCTTCCAAAGCCACAGAACTAAAGGTCAAATTCTGGCCCTTGGTGACTTCTCCATGGCAAATGTGCCACTGGAAAGTATTTTGTCAATTAACCTCCTGGTATAGCAGATGAAACTGTCCAAAAATGTTACTACTCACCAACGTATTAAATTTTAAGATTTGGTTGAATGTGCTATATGGTGATAACCTGTTGGATGAGACCTTAAATCAGTCTGGGGAACAACCAAGTTCCAATAAAAGTCCAGAAGGTGAAGTTCTAATCTGTCTGAAATTAGTGAACTGATTGTCAATTCAAATTAATAGAAATCATAATTTGACTGAGGGTTTATTGCCAGTTATGCTGTCTTTTTTGTTAAAAGGTGGTAATAAACTTGTAATGGAATTTACCGCAGTGGCAGTCTTCAGTATAACTGAGGATCCCATCAAATACAAAGAAATCTCATATAGCTCTTGAATTCTAAGCGTGCCTTTCTCTTGCATTTTATATGCTTTCTCCACTCCCCCAATGCAAAATCAAAACAAAAACAAATAATTGCCATTATGGAATTATTTAATGCCAAATTACTTTGTTGTTTTTTTTTCCTCTTCCACTTTTTTTATGCTCCCACTGTATCAGGTAAGATGCTCCCTTCTCCATGGGTAGAATCAAGCTAATATTTTCAGAAAATTAACATCTTCAAAAGATTCTTAAGACTTATCCGTGACTTGCTCAAGAATTATTGTACTGTTCTGTGAAATCTTGACATAGTGAGTGGGAGAGATTTTAACTAGGCATTGCATCTAAACTTCTGAATTACTGGTTGATCTTGTTCAAGTGATAAGGCTTGAATGGCTCAACTGTTCCTAATCCTGGTTTTAAGATGCCTAGTGTAAGGTATGCCTGTGTCTCGCTCACTGAAGTTACATCTTATCTTCCTGAAAGTGGTATCTTTCATTTTTAGAATAATCTAATCATTTTTCCATTGCTAAAGCTGCATTGTCTAGCTAAGACCGGAAGGGAGTTCTCTTGGAAGAGTTGAACACAACATTGGGTGCCTAACATTTGACCTCTTACAGTTGGCATATATCCCAAATTAGGAAGAAGGGGAGGGTAGAGGAGACTTGCACCTCTCATAGGTTGAAAAGAAAGAGGTTTGGGCCATTAGAGAATGAGAACCACAGCTTTTCAAGGAGAATCCAGAGGCTGAGGACCTTTGGAATCAACGCTGGTACAGCTTAATGATGCCAGCCTTGTGCAAGTTCTTCCAGAGCTTGGCTTCAAGATGCAGATCGTGGTTTGTATAAAATGTCAGTGGTGTCTTACGTCTGTCAAAATAGTAGCAAGAAAATTTCCTGTAGTTTCTTGTGATAAATCCATAGGCACTAACCTGGTCACAGGTATGCAAAGCTGTCAGCAGGATGAGGGCCCCAGTACTAGGAATGTATATGCCTTTGGAGACTGTGGTACTATAACTGGAATTCAAAAACCTTTCTGTCAAGTAGTGGATGAAGTTTGGATGTAGTAGCTTAAATTTACCTGGAGGAGATCCTGGTCCAAAATAGGTTTGAGGCATGTCCCCTTTGTCATGACCCTCTGGGACAGGCACACCCAGAAGGGCCGACTGCAGCATCAAATAGTCACGGATGCTGGAAGGGATGAAGACATAGCTCATGTTCTCTCCTTGTGGCACAGAGGTGAAGCCCACGTGCTTATAGTTCACGAGGGAGTTCTTCATGGTATTCGTAGTGAAACAATAGAAGGAGGTCTTAGTACCCACGTCTTCCTCAAAGCCTTTGATCACTGCACCATTGAGTCTGAAGACAAAGTCGTGGGCGTCGATGCGTGGGCCCTGGCGGGAGCCATTTAAAATCCCTCCATTGGCCACCACGGCACATCGAGCGCAAGCTGGACGCAGCCCCTGGGAGGTAGAGAGTAACTCTGCGCTCTGGGAGCTGTTCAGAAGTCTCAGGGCAGAAGCAATGGATTGAATGGGAAGACCTTGCCAGGAATAGGGCGCTCTGAACTGGTTGAGGCGATCCCAGAGCTCCTGGGTGAAGAGGCGGTCCCACAGCAGCACCGGCATGGAGAGATCGAAGAGTTGCCGGAAGCGTGGATGGCGCTGCATGGCCAGAGCCAGGGGCCGGGCGCAGGTCTGTTGTGTCTCAAATTCTGAGGTGCGAGCCAGGGGCCTGAACCACCAGCCCTGCTCCTCTGCTACCCAATAGCAGATTAGCCCGGTGCAGAAGGCTACAAGCAGGACCCCTCGCCAGACCCCCGTGAGGCACCTGCACCTCATCCTGCAGGCGCTCGGCAGAGGCCCCCACCCTCCAGCCTCGTGACCCTACCCCTCCAGAGCCCGCCCTGACAAGTCTCTTCGTCACAATCATTTTTTGCCTACCTTAGTCAGTACCAAGATAAGCCAAAGAGGAAAAATTTTCAGCGGCGAAAACAGACCCTCAGAGAGGTCAACGCTTCCCATTGTGTCAGGAGATGATTATGTCCTTCCATTGCCCCATGTCTCTTGCTAGGTTTCATATTAATTTTTATTTTATTTTCCTCTTCTGCCCTAAACTTGTGCACTTAGGGTGGAGAATAGCCCATGTGCTGGGAAACTGATGCACATATGATTATGGCATTTCAAAATAATGACAATAATTCTTTAACCATTACCTAAAGTTTAAAATTCTATGGAAGAACATTTGCAAATTTGCTTTTTGCCTTGTGTGGACTGATGTTGCTATTCCCATTGTTGTTTATAAAATACAGATTTTAAAAAAAATGGAAATGTTTTAATTCCTTTGTATTTCTGACTAAAACTAGTTCAGATAAAAAGACAATTTATGTATCTTCAAAAAATATTCATATATTGAAAGGCATAACATACACCAGTATCCTACTATAATAATTTACCTGGATTAATAATTCAAAAATATTTTTATCTCTTATCTACCTTAAATAACATTCTAAGTCACTTCTAAATGAAGAATAATTTAATTTTTTTAAGTTGTTGAGTATATTTTCATCTTCACTGTTGAGAAAACAAACAAAAAACAATAGATGAATATCTCCATCTAGAGCCTGTTTAGGAAAAAATGTAATTGCTCTAAAGAAGTTATTCTGTATTCAGATGATGGAATGCAATGTAACAGCTCATCAATATGTCAGGAGAAAACATCAAAGATGTGACTAACCTCAGTTTGGGATGGACACTGAGTGACTGGGTTTATATTCCCCAGGATGCTGGTTTAGTTTCTATTCATGTGTCCTAAGATTGCTGGGTACAAAGTAATTCAAAGCTTTATAGCTCAAATGAACCAGATCGAGCTCTAACTTCTCTGTGTGCCTGATACCATACCTGCATAAGTAAGAAATAAGTAATTTGGAGTCTGTGTTAAATCACATCATAAAAATGAGCAGAGGGTATATAGAAAAGAAAAGATGTGGTACTTAAGTCAAACTTGGCTCTTCAAGGAGAGTCTCGTGGATAAGTTGTTACATGAATTAAATCATAAAAGGGTATTTTTATTTTTAATTATAATTTTATTTAACTCATCTTGGTATATTTTTAGTTTTGGTATAGTTATACAAACCCTCACTCCATCTACTGCTATGTAGTACTCTGTCATTTACTTTTTTGCTACTTTTTTATTAATCTCTACTCTCTACTTATTAATCTCTACTTTTCCATTTCTATTAGCAACTTTCTTTTGGATTAGCACTCATTCTCAGTTCTTTAATTTATTGGATTTCTTGGTCTTTTCTGACACTATTTACTACTTCCTTTTCCCAAAATCTCTCTTCCCTTTGTTCTCATGGCACTTAAACTGTGGCAGATGGTATTTATATTCCATCCATAATACTTGGGCACTTAATATTTCCATGCATGACAGCCCAGACTCTTTCACTTGAGAGTTCTCACTGACCACTGGAGCCAGCAGAGCCAAGAAATTAACAACCCTTGAGAACCACCCCTAACCAATGACTAACAACAATTGATGAACAAACACTTCACCCACTTCACCCTTCAGACAAGACAGCTCAGTATCACTGGTCTACACTGGCTCACAGAATTGTTTCACAATGAAAAGAAGCTTTAGCTGTTCATAACCTTGATTTACTCCATAAGTCAAACTTTACTATCTTCTCTTCCCTGACCCACCTCCTCATTTATCTGATGGTACTTGCTAGGGTCATTCACCAAATAAATTCCTTATATCCACACCTTGTCTTGGGATCTGCTTCCCATAGAATCCAAATGGAGATACAATTTTAAATCTATAATTTTTTTACCGAATTTTTCTTTTCAGGAGTATTTTCTTCTTATTAAAAACCTTTTAATGAGGATTCTCAAAGCTCCATTCTCTGGAAGAGTTTATCTACATTCCTGTTTTTGTTTACTATTTATATGTTGATGACTCTCAAATCAGTTTCTCTAGCTAAAGTATCACTTTCAACGATCCTGCCACACCAGGATGTTTGTCTTCTTCAAAACTGTAAACTCTATTTTTATATTTCCAAATTTTAAAATAGTACCTGTCATGCTGTAGATGTTGAGAAAATGATATATTCATTGATTAGAAGATAAAAATACAGGACAAGTGTCAATTTTTGGCATTTAGAGAAGTACTGGAATCATTCTGTTCCTATGTAATAACAAAAGAAGTCTATTTGGTGAATTCATACAAAATATATTCAGAAATGTAAAGTAAATAATCTGCTCCTTTTGAGCATGATAGCCTAAATAGCCAGCTGACTGAGACTTCCTGTTCCAACTGATTTCATTGGCAAAGTCTAGAATTTGAGTATTAAGTGCTGAAAGTCAGTCTGTAGCTTTTGTTCCCCTTTCAGTTAATCAGCTATTCAAAAGCTATCTTACTCAAATGACACCCATTTGCCTAGCTTTCAGGAGATGTGTTAACCACCAGGAACTATATTTCTTAGATTTAAAATAAATGGAAGCACCAGCAAGAACTCTCCCTTCCATTTAGAAAATGGAAGGCTGCCAGATACAGTACCTGGATCAACTACTGACATTTAAATAGCTATTTGCTTAATCCCAATAAAGTATTTCATGTATAAGAACCAAGACTGTGAGCAATGAATTAGGCAACACTTTGCTATAAGTCATTTAGAGAATTATCCTCTAGAATAGCAGACTGTTACTATTAATTTATACCTAAATAACTAACTCTATAGGTGAAGAAGCTCAGATAACATCGAAGTAACTCTATAGGTGAAGAAGCTCAGATAACATCGAAGTAATGTTTTGCAAACCACAGCATCAGTGATGAGCTGAGACTAAAGCATTACCCTCTTGCTTAATATCCTGACTAATTCCCTTCCCATTTGTATATTTTTTCAAAACTTTAAAGTTATTAAAGATATTAATATCAAAAAATATTACCATGACTTTGATTTCCTGAATTTATGGAGCAAAAGTCATTAAAGTTAGAAAAAAATAATGAGCTCTGGAAGATACCTAAAGGATTTTTACATGCAGTTCTTCTTCCTGAAAAATCTACCCATTCTATAATCTCTAAAATGTGGATTTCCATAACCTAGTTTTGAGTCTGTCATAAAAAAGACAGGTATCATCACTTTTGTTTTTACAATAAGGAAAAAAGCTGAACAATAAGAAAATCAGCAACTCCTTTTAGATCTGTCTGGGACCTGAGGTCACAGGGTACACCACCACACGGAAATCTAGAGAGACTGCTGAATGCACATAATCATGGCTTAGCAGGAGCAGAATCTTCTGCTGCAAACTGTTAGAAACACATAAAGAACAATGAATAATTGCCTGAAATGAAACACTACTGAGAAATAAAAAACAAAGTCCTAGGGGCTCAACCATAAGGGGGTTCCCATACTTTCATGAGTTTTACCTCCAAAAGCTCCACTGAATTTGGATTGTGACAATAATAGAAAAATTCCTTCATGTTTATTTCAGAGGAAAAGGGAAAATCACAATTTTCAAATAACCCAGAGTGCTCAGTTTTCTTTAGCAACTGTGTTTCCTCAAGGGCAACGGCAGCTCTCCTGCCTGCCTGTGACTACACAGGCTTTTTTTAAAAAAACAAACCTTTTCCTTTCAGAGATAGTTCTTTCTGCCTTCTTGCATCTGTGCAAGCATCCTTTTAATCCTTTCCTTTTTAAAAATAATAAACCTTCATAGCAGGAATCTAGAAAACTTAAATAAGGGACCAGGAAAATGAATAACTATAAGAAAGTGAAAATCAAAATCAACAAAAAACTATGAACCAGAGACACTTTTAGGGGGCGGGGGTGGGAGGGGAGGGATTGGGGTCAGAATGGGGGGGCTGCAATTGTATGGGGAATATAACAATAAAATTTATTTAAAAAAAAAAATAAAAAAATAAAGTTTACAAAAGAAAAAAAAAAAAAATAAACCTGCCCTTTTGCATAATAAGAGGGGTGGGAGAATTTTATCAGACCCTAACCACATAAGGTTTTATCAGAACCTATCTACCTGGAGGAAGGGAATTATCCATCTCTAACCCTCTTGACTTCCTGTCTTACTTAAGAGGGGAAGAGGTAAGGTAGAGACACTTGTGAAAGACACAGACCAGGGACATAAGCCCGCTAAAATATTGAGACTAGTAATAGGGTTATAGAATAATTTTCCTTTCCCATAACTTATCCTCAGTAACCAATAGGTTTCCTGTATAACAGCTGAAAGAATGTTAAGTTTTAGATTCTAATTAAAAAGGAGTCTCTAGGGAAACTCAGGATTATAAGGAAGATAAACAAGGACACTAAAGAAAATTGTTGCCTACTACACCACTATACCTCAGTTATAGTAAATAGTAAATGAACTTTATTGCTATACAGATAAGTATAAACCCTCACAATAAAGGACTATTTCCTCATTTCCTTTTACCTAGTATATCATGTCTGACTCTCAACAAGAACTTATAACACACACACATAATCTGAAGAGACAAAGCAAGCATCAGAACCTGACTCGGATATGACAGAGGTTTTGGAATTATCAGACAAGGAATCAAAAGTAACTATGACTAATGTACGAAATATCTCTAGCAGAATAAGTGGACAACATGCAAGTACAAATGAGTGATATAAGTAAAAAGATGGACACTCTAAGAAAGAATTAAAAATAATACTAGAAATTAAAAATATTGTAATAAAAATGAAAAATCTCTTTGATGATAAGCTCATCAGTAAGCTAAAAATGAGCAAGGAAAGAAGCAGTAAGTTTGAATATGAGAATGGAAATGTCCCAAAACAAATAACGAAAGGGAAAAATGAATGGAAAAATGG